AGAGCTAAAACTCCCTAAACTCTTAGGGAAAATTCACCCAGTTTTCCATTGTAGCTTGTTGAAACCATATCGGAGTTCCACGTTAAGACCCCCTCCCAAAAAAGCACCTGGGCCCCTTGTGGTTGCGGGACAGACCCACTATGAAGTAAAGCGTATTCTTGACTGTAGAATTTTTAGAGGGAAATTGCAGTATCTAATACAATGGAAGGGATACCCGTTATCCGAAGCCACCTGGGTTAAATCCAGTGAAGTAAAGGCTAATAGATTGGTCAAAAGGTTTCATGTGAAACACCCCAACAAACCGAAAGATAACCCTTAACATATGCTTTGGTTTGCTTTACAGGATCTATCCTTTTTGTAAGGGGGGCCGGATGTCAACGCTGCAAATACTGTATATTCTTGCTTTGACAATATGCAGAACTGTCTGGTATTTTTATAGTTAAACCAGGCAACAGGGAAAAAGGGAGGAGAATAAGGATAGCCCAGGAAAAAGAAACCGGAAGTAAATCACATCTTCCAAGTTGATTGGAAGATGTGAACCATGACCCCAAAAGGGGGGGGAAATGCTTAGAATGTATATGCGTAACGGAAGAGAAGCCAGACCTAAGCATTTCCACCATGCTGTACTGACGTCTCTGTAACCTTAATAAATGCTTTTAGGAAAAAATATGCCTGAAAGTCCTTTTAAGTGATTCGTTAATCAGACATATGACAAAGGGGAGCTACCAAAATTAAGAATGGAAAATGCATCCGTGGGAGAGGAAAAGGGACTACCAGAAATACCAGAGGAATACAGAGATCTTGCTGAAGTTTTCAGTAAGGAGAGGGCGGATGAGCTACCCCGCCCCACCGACCCACGGACTGTGCCATTGAATTCAAGCCTGGGGCAAAACTCCCGAAGCCCAGGCTATACTCCATGAGCCCAAAGGAGAAGGAGGAAATGGAAAGATTCATAAAGAAAAACCTAGAAAGGGGGTTCATTGAGCCAGCCAAGCCTAAAGTGGCCGCCCCGGTCCTCTTTAGAGAGAAGAAGGACGGCTCTTTACGCTTATGCGTGGATTATAGGCTCCTGAATACAATCAGTGAAAGCAACCTATACCCTCTGCCCCTCATGAAGGACATGTTGTCACACCTCTCGAAAGGGAAAATTTTCACTAAACTGCAAGCCGCCCACCTATATGCCAAACTCTCGAAATGCGAATTCCACCAGGAAAGAATAGACTACCTGGGTTATCACATATCCCCATAGGACATTGAAATGGACCCAGAGAAGGTCAGAGCAGTATTAGAATGGGCACCACCCCGCACAAGAAAGCAGCTGCAAAGTTTCCTGGGCTTCTCAAACTTTTACCGCCAATTCATCCCCTCATTTGCCCAGATAGCCCTGCCCCTCACGAACTTACTAAAAACAAAGGGAGCATCCTCAGTAAAACCTAGCCAGCCACTAACATGGACAATGGAGTGCCAAGCGGCGTTTGAGAGATTAAAGAGACTTTTTTCTGCCGAACCAGTACTGAGGCACCCAGACATGGATAAGCCCTTTGTAATACAGGCGGATGCAAGTGATGTGGCAGTGGGGGCTGTACTATTACAAGAAAACGATGAAGGGGTATTGCAACCCTGTGCGTATACATCCAAGAAACTCACCAAAACGGAACAGCGCTGGCCCGTGTGGGAGAAAGAGGCATATGGGATACGTTGATCATTACTCACGTGGCGCCAGTCTTGAAGGCAACAAAATCCCTTTCCAGGTGTGGACAGACCACAAAAATTTGGAAGACTTGAAAACACCCAGGAAGCTCAACCCCAAGCAAGCCCGCTGGTCCCAGCATTTTCACCAGTTCCAATTTACGCTCAGGCATTTGCTGGAGGGAAAGAACTTCCTGGCAGATGCACTATCTCGCATGCCCCAATATAACAGCACGCGAGCCACCGACTCTAAACCGACGATGGTAGAATCACAACTGGCAGTGCCAGTAACCACCAGAGCCCAAGCTAAATTAAAACCACAGCTGGGCAGCCAAACCGGAATTGAATTCCAGAAAAGTTTGGAAACAGATGAATGGTTCCAGAAAAATAAACACGTGTGCACAATGAAAGACGGGCTGCCTTGGGTGGGGGAAAAGTTATATGTACCAACAACCCAAAGAGTCACATTCATGCAGCTTTGCCACGACACAAAAACAGCAGGGCATTTTGGATTTGTAAAAACATTACACCTAATTAAATGGCAATTTTGGTGGCCGTCCATGAAAAAGGACATAGAAAGTTACGTGGCCAGCTGCCCAAATTGTGCAACTGCCAAGAGGTTGCAAGGGAAATTGCCCGGACTGTTACAAACAGTGGCAAATCCCTCAGCCCCCTGGAGGGAAATAGCCATGGATTTTATAGTGGAATTACCAGAAAGCAATGGGAATACTGTTGTCTGGACGGTCACGGACTTGTTTTCCAAACAGGTGCACTTTATCCCTTGCCAAAAGATTCCCACCGCAAAAGCCTTAGCGAAACTTTTCGTCCAGCATATTTACAGATTGCCTGGGGCACCCCAGCACATCATATCTGATAGGGGAGTGGAATTTATGTCTGCATTTTGGAAGGAATTTTTATCCCTCTTAGGGACCACTCAGGGACTGACATCTAGCCATCATCCACAAGGGGATGGACAAACAGAACGTTGTCACTCAGTACTGGAGCAATACTTAAGATGCTTTATTAATTTTCAGCAAACGGATTGGACGGACCTACTCCCTTTCGCAGAAGTTGCCTACAATAATGCAGTCCACTCCAGCACAGGTTACATTCCTTTTCAAATAGTTACCGGTCAAAGTTTCAACCCCATGCCAGAACTAACCCCAAACGAACCGGCGATCCCATCACTGAAAGAATCGATGGAACAATTACAAAATACCTGGCCAATAGTTAGAAAAACACTAGATGAAGCTAGGCAGGCATACAAAGCACAAGCCGATAAAAAAAGGGTTGAGCCTACACCATTCATTATAGGAGAAATGGTGTACTTATCTACAAAATACCTAAAATCCCTACAACCCTATAAAAAACCAAAATATATAGGGCCTTTTCCAATTAAAAGAATCATAAACCCAGTAACAGTAGAATTAGAATTACCCAAAAATCTCAGGCAAATACACCCAATTTTTCATTGCAGTTTGCTGAAAAGAGAGTATCTATCACCTTTACGGCCAAAAATCCCCCCCCACCTCCAATCATGGTGGAGGGCGAACAACACTTCGAGATAAAGGAAATCCTAGATTCTAGGAGATATCATGGAGCAACTCAGTATCTCGTAGCATGGAAACACCTCCTTGCCTCACAAAACGAGTGGGTCCATAAACGTCATGTCAGAGCCCCGAAGCTATTAAAGAAGTTTCATACGGAGTATCCTAACAAGCCAGACTAACTTTTATACCTGTTTTGTTTTCTTTTCAGGTGGATCTCTCTTATTTTTAAGGGGGGGCAGGATGTCAGAATCCAATTATATTTCATTTCTAGTTATCGACTATGGAAAACCCCATTTCTGCCCTCTCTGGATTCTGTCATACTACAAAGGGGAAGGGGGATGAGCAAAGGGGTTTTATGGCTCTCACTTCCTTCATTAAAACTTCAAAGGGACTGAATGTGGATCTCACCAAGAGGACTGACCATAACAATATGGCCCATCAGCTTTCATCTACTACTCTCTGAAGTCTCCCTTCTGCCGGTCGAGAGGAAAAGGGGGTAGAAATATGACGCCTGGGATTGTCGCTGGACGGACGGTGGGGTGGGGGTTGCTTGGGAACACTTAAAACCTTGAATGGTAGGGGTTGGACTCTCAGATCCTGTCTAGAACGCCTGCAACCATCTTATCTTAATAAAAATGCCTATTGGAAGAGATATTCCAAGAGTTCTGTCTTCTTAAGATGTAAAGTGGGGTGGGTCTTTACAGATACCCATTGTCATCGGGGCACTGGGAACTATGTCCAAAAACTTTGCAAAATACATCAAGAATCTGCAGCTTCCTGCAATAACTCCAGCAATGTTACAAAAAACTGCGCTACTCGGAACATCTTATATTTTAAGGAGGTACCTGGTTGACACCTAGGATGCTGGCAGCAACCCGTGTCAACCATCAGCGCGAGCCAATTTGAATGTTCAGTTGAATGAGGTTTATGTCTAGATGATGATGATGATGATGATGATGATGATAAAGTTGGAAGGGACCTTGGAGGTCATCTAGTCCAACCCCCTGCTCAGGCAGGAAACCCTACACCATTTCAGACAAATGGTTGTCCAACCTCTTCTTAAAGACTTCCAGTGTTGGAGCATTCACAGCTTCTGGAGGCAGGTTGTTCCACTGGTTAATTGTTCTGTCAGGAAGTTTCTCCTTAGTTCTAGGTTGCTTCTCTCTTTGGTTAGTTTCCATTTTGTAAGGTACTGTATCTTAGCTGTTGACCGTATCCAATTTCAGTATAACCTTCCAATTTTGATCTTTGAATCAGTTACTATGTATTCATTGGCATCCTTTCTCTCACTAATTTGAGATTGAGATTTTCTTAGCCACTTTGCTAAGAAAACAGCAGGGACCAGTGCAGGCTGTCACCAGGAGGCAACACTGCCTAAAAGGCACAAACAGAACAAAAAGAAAAGTTGCATTATGTTTAATGAGTGGATTCTTTAAAGCAGCAACATCTTTTTCATATCATAAATAAATAATACTTCAAGTCATTTTCAAAACCTGTACAGCTGAACCTTTTCCCAATGTTTGGTTTCTTTTTATCCTGCAGCACGAGTTTTTAAAATGGAATTTACTGTTAAAAGCATCTGAGCCCTAGGTCCTCAATGCCTACTAAATCTTTTCTTTTCTGGTTTTCTTCTTATTAATGTGATCTTCCTGATGTTACTGAAACAGTGTAGAACACTTTCTGTTTTAATGTCACTTTCAACACTGGGCATTGCGTGTGCAGCTAAAGTGATGGTTGGTATAACCATTTTGCCTTTTCTAGGGATCTGAAGCCAGAGAACATCTTGTTAAATGGAGAGATGCATATTCAGATTACGGACTTTGGGACAGCAAAAATATTGTCTGCAGATAGTAAACAAGGTGTGTATAATTTATCTTTCATTTCATGAAACAGTTGCTCTGCCTTGAGAAGTGCCCTTACTTCTTTATTTCTCGTTGTAGCACGGGCAAACTCCTTTGTAGGGACAGCACAGTATGTGTCTCCAGAGTTATTAACAGAAAAATCTGCCTGCAAAAGGTGAGCTCTGTGTGTGTGTTGAAATAATTTCATGCTTTATTTTGAACTGTATTAAGATGACTTTGAGCTCTGACCTTATTCTCCAAGCTTTTTTCAGTACTTTGCATTGTCTTTGTTGAAATTTGGATGGGGGGGAGGGGGAGATTTCCAGCAGATGAAAAGGGATCCTAAAAACTCAAATTTATTGAGAGTTTTTAAACTCGTAAACATTTGTTCAATAGAACATTCCAACACAACATTTGCTCTGCCCAGACATGAGACGAGAATTATTTTTTCCTACTAGGCTTACCGCCTACTCATTCATATTTATTGTGAGAAATTCTTAAAGAAACATTTTTAGTGAGTCTCAATAAAAGATGAATAATATATTTCAAAGCACAGCTAAATTAAACTAAGTTTCTTAAAATTTATAGCTAAAATATTCTTCCTCTTCTTACTAACATAACTCTTATAAACTGAACTTATTTGGAAAGAACTGGAAACCTTTTTTTCAGTATTTTTTTCTACTTATATATGTTTTCTATTAGCTGCTGTTTTTAGTTTAAAATTTAAATGATAATCTTACAGTGTTGTAATCTACTTTGAGAAAGCTATGCTTTGGAATAACTCATATACAGCTCCAAAGATTCCTGGATGAAACGGATTATCTAGACCCTTACCAGTCAGGATTCAGGCCTGGATATGGGACAGAAACGGCATTGGTCATGCTTTTTGATGATCTCTGATGGGAGCGGGTGGGGGTAGCGCATCCATCCTGCCTCTGCTTGACCTCTCAGTGGCTTTCCATACCATCGACCATGGTATCCTCCTGGAGCGGCTTAGAGGGTTGGGAGTGGGGGGCTTTGAGCTGTCCTGGTTCACTTCCTTCCTCTTTGGCCGCTCTCAGTCAGTGTTAATAGGAGGCGAGAGGTCCAGCCCTTGTCTACTGCTCAGTTCTTCCTCCACTTTTGTTTAATATCTACATAAAGCTGCTGGGTAAGATCATCCGCCACCATGGGCTGAGATATCAATATGCTGATGACACCCAGTTACCATGTTTTCCCCGAAAATACGACTGGGTCTTATATTTGGGGGGGGGGACCAAAAGACCCATTAGGGCTTATTTTCAGGGATGTCTTATTTTGCGGCCGGCCGCCCACTCCACCCCACCGTCTGATTGCTTGCAGTCACAATGGGGCATAAGAGCACGCATTGCACCAGTGCCACTACCATGGGGTGAGATGAGGCAGGTGGGGAATGGAGCTGCCCCATGCACCCCACACCCGCTTACCTCAGGGCCCCCGCAGCCAGGCAATTCCCTGCTCAGTGACCTTCCCCCACCCGTTCAATGACCCAGTTGCCTGCCCACCTCTTCCCTTTCACTCCCCTCCTGAGTCGGACTACCCTGATACGGAGGATGGGCTGGGGAAGATTGGTCGCATTAGCTGGTCCCCCTCCGATGTTTTAGAGCCAAGGGGGGGGTGACGGCGAAAGGCCTCCGCCACCGTTGCGCAACAGCCGCGTCCGCCGCTGGAGGGGCTTTCTTTGGTCCCTGCCAGCCCCTCACCCCACAGATCACCTGCTCCTCCTCCACCTACCGCTTCGGTTCTGTGGGGCTGCGGTCCTTTGGCTGCTCCCCGTTCACAGCCTGTACTTTATGGTTTCAATGGCGGCAGTGGTAGTCTCTCTGCATTGTCCCTGGGCTGGCAGTTTTGGCCACCACCCCCCTTCGCAGCTCTGTCCACACAGCCAATGGGAGAGTTGGCTGGAGTCGTGGCAGCGTAGTCTTCGGAGCACCTCCACCGCCAGCCCTGGTATAACTCTCCCGTGGCTGTGTGGGCAGAGTCGCAAAGGGGGGTGGTGGCTGAAACCGCCAGCCCAGGGACGATACAGAGAGCCTACCACTGGCCTCCAGAGCTGCCGCCATTGAAACTATACAATACAGGCGGCAAACGGACAGCAGGCAGCACAATGTAGTGCTGCAGGACCCCAGTGGCTGGCGGAAGAGGTGGCCGTTGGCAGTGGGCTGGTGATCCGCGGGACGAGGGCGGTGGGGACCAAAGAAAGCGCCTCCAGTGGCAGAAGCAGCTGATGCACAGTGGCAGTGGAGGCCTTTCGCCATCAATCCCCCCTGGCTCCAAAATGGCGTAGGGGGACCGGGTAAGGCAACTGAGCCTCCCCCAGGCATCCTCCGTAGCATGGCAGTCCAGCTTGGGAGGGGAGAGAAAGGGAAGAGGCGGGCAGGCAGCCGGGTCATTGCACGGGTAGGGGGAGGTTGCTGAGTAGGGAGCAGCTTGCCTGCGGGGGCCCTGAGGTAAGCGCATGCAGGGTCCGTGGGGTAGCTCCAACCCCCAACCTCACCTCAACTCGTGGCAGTAGCACCGGCATGCCATGTGGCCCCCTGCCCCGTTGCGGCCGCAAGCAACCAGAATGGCCGGGCTCTTAACTAGGGCTTATTTTTGGGGTAGGGCTTATATTAGACACACACTAAAATCATGCTAGGGCTTATTTTCTGGGTTGGTCTTATTTGGGGGAAAACATGGTATATGTGTCAGCCCGTGGTAGGTTAAGTGATGCTGTGACCTCCCTCTCCCAGTGCTTGAAGGCTATTAAGGGCTGGATGGGGAGCAATGGGCTAAAGTGGAACCCTGGTGTGACGGAATGGCTCTGGTTTCCAGGGTTCTTTGGCCCATAGAGAATTGCCATCTTTGGTCTTGGATCAGTTGGCATAGCCCCAGATATACCCAGTGCGTAATCTGGGGGTTCTCCTGGTCTCATGGCTCCTGTCTGAGGAGCAGGTGGCAGTCATGGCTAGTAGGGCCTTTGCATAATGCAGCTTGCACATCTGTTATGCCCTTTCCTGAACCAACAATCTCTACTCACAGTCATTCACACCCTGGTCACCTTACAATGCACTGTACATGGGGCTGCCCTTGAAAAGTATCGGGAAGCTTCAGTTGATTCAGAATGCAGTGGCCTACATGATTTTGTGCTGGCCTAGATATGCATACTGTATGTGTCCTCTCTCCTGTGGGAGCTGCATTGACTGCCAATTTGCTTGTGGGTCTAATTCAAAGTGCTGGCTGTCACCTTTAAAGTCCTGGGACCAGGAGACGGAATGCTGCAGGTCCCTTGTCCTAAGAAAGTTCATCTAGTGCAGGGCTTTTCAACCAGTGGTATGGGTACCACCTGTGGTATATTGGCACCTGGCAGGTGGTACGAGACCATCCTAGAAAAGTGGTAGCGGGGGAGGGGAATGGGCTGAACCGGTGGCAGCACCGCACAAGCCTGAGCGAGAGACGCTGGAGCTGCAGGGCTGTCAGGGCTCAGTGGAAGCGCCAGGATCAGTGCCACTTTCCAGCTGATTGGCGCTTCTTCGGGGCTGTCAGGGCTCAGTGGAAGCACCAGGATCAGCGCCAGGCTCCAGCTGGAGCTCGGCGCTGATCCCGGCGCTTCTGCTGAGCCCAGAAGCACCGATCAGCTGGAATGTTGCAGCATCTCCAGGGTCTTGTGCTTTACATTCAGATGCTTGGCAACTGATTCATATTTATGACGGTCACAGTGTCCCAGGGTCATGTGAAGTGACCAAAACCTGCTGCAACCACCCAGCAGATGGGGGGAATAAAAACCAAACACCCCCCACCCCACTCCCACTGCCAATCCTCAACAGAAATGCTCACAACAATGAAAACCTCGGACAGGAGGAGGAGCGCTGCTGGGTGGCAGGCAGGTGTCTTGCTCAGCTGTGGCTTGAGGGCACTTTTTTCAGTGCCGTTGTAACTTCGAACAGTCATTAAGCGAACTGTTGTAAGTCGAGGACTACCTGTACTTTATCACCTTTTTTCCTTTTGGGGGGGGGGGGTCAAGTTTTTGACACCTTGCTAGGCGACTGGTGGTACTCGGATATTGCCATATCCTAAAAGTGGTACAATGGGTGAAAAGGTTGAAAAGCCCTGATCTAGTGGGACCAAGAAAAAGGGTCTTCTCTGTGATGGCTCCCTCCCTATGGAGCATCATCCTGCAGAGATAAAATTGGGCCCCAGTTTGACACTTTCACAAGGCCCCGAAGACTTGGTTTTGCCTAAGGGTTGTCAAAGATCCTTCGGCAGGAATGCCTCGAATAGAAGGTGAAGCTCTGCAGAAATGTTTCCTACATCTGGTTATTTTGGCTGTTGAAAGCAGATGTGACAATAAGCAGTTTATGCAATATTAATTCCTGTGCTTTGTTTCTCCCCTTTGTCCGTCGTGCTGATGAAGCTCTGATCTCTGGGCTTTGGGCTGCATCGTGTACCAGCTTGTAGCAGGGTTACCACCGTTCCGAGCTGGGTGAGCCAATGTCTTGAATTGTACCAAGTTCCCAGTTTTTAGAAAGCTTTCCCCAGTATCCTCCTTTCATGATTTGAAAGAGAAGGCTCATGGAGTGGGAAGGAGAAAGAGGGAGGGTTGGAAAGAGTGCCCTGTCCCTGCTTAATAAGGCTCCCTAGCCAGATTCCTTGCTTTTGCCTGTCTCTGGTCTGATTCCCTTAAGAGGCATTGAAGGGGGGAGGGGGGGAGGGAACTTTCTTATGGAAAGATACTCTAGCCCAGGGGTGTTAAACTGCTGGCTCGTGGGCCGGTTGCATCATGCGGAGGCCGTGGCCACCCCGGCTCCGGCAGTGCGAAAAAAGTCACGATATGTCGCGACACGTCACATGACACGGCACGTTTGACACCCGTGCTCTAGCCAGACTTTCCGTAATTGCAGCTGAAGCTGCTTTGCTCTTCCTCCTGCCAATTTGTTTGACTTTGGCTAATCATTGTTTAAGGCTTGATATCTGCTCACTGGTTTGTTGAATGCTACAGCTGTTGGTTTCATACAGACACAAACTATAGTTTTTGGATCACAATGGTTTTGATATATTACAATATATATTACAATAAGCCACAAGGCGCAACTTAATATGGGTCAACCTCTGGAGACAAACATGATTCCCCCATGGCTTAGGCAGAATGTGTGGCTTGGCCAGTGTCAAGTTGGATGCATCGACTTTGGCCTGGTCACTGCACTATAATGTCTCCCACCCACCCCGCTTTCCAGCAGGGTATATTTCCTTGCTGATGTAGAAATAGTTCTCCCCCTCTTGTGTGACATGTGTTTTTTTTCCTTTGTTACCTAGGATTTTATATTAATGTGCCGCTTTTTTTTCCAGAAATGAATATCTCATATTTCAAAAGATAATCAAATTGGAGTATGAATTCCCAGAGAAGTTCTTCCCCAAGGCAAAAGATCTTGTAGAAAAGCTTCTGGTAAATAAACGTTACTGTCCAAAGAAAAAAAAATGTAAAACATTTAGCTGTGTTCTCCTGAGCCCCCCTCCCCCTCTGGTTTTAGTTTGATTACTGTCAGAGCTTCCTCTCCAGCAAGTCTTTTTTCACACTTTTCAATGCTTTTTCACAACTTTAATCAAGGCCATAATTCTCAATCTCTTATCATTCCCTTGCTCTTTTTTGCAAGCCTGCCCTGAAGCGTGCTCTAATGGTAGCAATGTGGAGCTATTTAAAAAGTTAAGGCAATTGGATCAGAATATATACTTTGGTCCAGTTGCCCTGATTTAACTTTTTAAATACTTTTGGCCTGGATGATGTGAGTCTTCATTGACATATTACAGTGTGGAGCTGCTGCTGTCCAGCCAAAGTGACTCCTTGCTTGAGCAGAAGGTCAGGACTGCGGGGCTGTCTCTGCTGAGCGGTTGGCGCATGCCAGCCTCTCCCTTCAGGCGTTAGCAATGCAGTTGCCCTACATGCTGGATGAGAGGGGAGCTGCGCCAAAGTGAACTCCTGTCGTCCCTCGGTTCTTCTCGCTGCCCGGCCTCTCTCCACCTTTGACCGGGCTGTTGCTGCCGCTCGTTTCAAGATAGGGTTGAAGGGTAGTCCTTTCTTATGCTAGGAGAAGATGGCAAGATGAATGTTTCCAACATAATAAAAAGGTGCCTGTCAAGTAGAAGCAAGAACTTCTGGGATAGAGAACCAAGTGGAGATTAAATCATTAGAATAAGCAGGGCCAATATCTTGCTGTTTTAATTAATTAATTCATTCATTCATTCATTTATTTTTTGTATAGCCGTGTTAGATCAGTTTCTTACCAAAGATAATTAGACAAAGAAAATGTAGGAGGCAGCACGAGATGGAGGAAGCCAGTCTGCTCTATGAAGTGAAGGGCACTGTTGGCTACCAGATGTTTTGGCCTGTCGGAACCCACTGAAAGCCCATTTCTTTGAGTAGATAAAGCAGCTGTGGTCCTTTCCAGAGATCTTCTGGAGGGCTTAAAAGTTTACTCTTTTACAAAAGTGATCCTCAGGTTACAACCACTCATTCAGTAGCCATTCGGACTCGCAGCAGTGCTGAGAGAGGGGGACTTACAGCCACTCTTTGGAGTTCTGGCTGTTGCAGCATCCCTGCGGTCACATCATATCCAACATTCCCTGCTGGTTTCCAGGGAAGAACATCCAATGGGAAAACTGGCAGGAAATTGGAAGTTGTGATCCTTGCTTAATGACCCACACAGTCCTCACTAAACTGCCAGCACTAATGGATTCAGTCATAAAGTGTGATGTCACATGACCACATCACTTAGCGGCAGTACAGTCGAGGAGCGTTCATTTGAGATTGAGTGCTAAAAAGCAAGGGCTCCTTTAAATACCTATGCAGATTCCGTTCCCATCACCCTGGCTGCACAGGCCTGTGCCTGTTAGATGGATTAGGCAGCTTGCACTGCAAATTCCACCAAAGTTCTTACATTGCACACAGAAATATAACCAATTTACAGCAACTCTTGTTTCAATTATCTTTTTATTAGGTCTTCCACTCTTAGCCTAACTATAATAAGTCCCAGCTACAGAGGCCACACGAGGACTTGCGTTTGCTGATTATCAGGTTGAGAAGCTTGGAGTCCAGGTCAAAAGAGGAAGTTCTTGAGGGTTCTCGGGGCTCCAGGGCTTGAAAGAAAGAAAGGCCTGCACACAGCAAGAGGTGGGGGCTGCGTTCATTTGGTTGTCCGTGCATGATCAGGATTAGTACCTTCAAGACTGCAGAAAAGCCAGCGCTGTGCTGCAGATGGAAACCTGTCGGCTGAAGTCATGGTCACCTCTAGGCGGTTGGTCTGCTTTTCCACATGAGCAAGAAGGGTAGCTTTGACCTGGACTCCAAACTTTACAAACTTTTTATCAATCCCATTATTTTTATGAAGCTTTGAATCTTGCCTTTGTAATACTAGATTTCTTACTATCTCCTGAAGCATAGTATTAGCCCTACTAGGTAGTCAACTGGACTAGGAAATCAACTCCCCAGGAAGGCTAAAACTATTTTTATTGAGATTGTCTATAATAGCAGGTTCTCGTGAGTCTGGTTGTACCCTACCTCCTCTTCCTTCTGCAGCTCAGTGAAGCTTCTGCCTGAAGTTATCTGATGCTCTGGCCCTCAGAAATGCTTCTGCCTTTTGTCTAGGGCTAGGCAATGGTTCCTGCATATCTCAGTCAAAGTCATCTTCCTTATAGTTAGTCATGATTAAATAACAGCTGTTAAGCAGCAATAGTGAAAGAGGATTCTCAACCAAGCTAATAAAAAAAGGCTGTTAGCAGGCAAGGCCTGTTTAAATGCATTGATCCTCTAGACATGTCAAACTCGCAACGTCACGTGACGTCGCGAGACGTATTGCGATAGTTTTGCCATTGCCGGGCCGGCTTCCGGATGATGCATCCGGCCCGTGGGCTGGCAGTTTGACACCCCTGCTCTAAATGCTGTTGTCAGCGAGGAAAGCAGCCCAACCAGAAGAAAAGTGGAAAATAAATATCTAGTTATTTTGACCATGAAGGTCTTCTTCAGTGTTCTTTGTTACCTGCAGGAACCTTTTTAGATGAACAACCAAAATCAATCAATCTGTAATGGAAACACATGTTTAGTGCAGGAATCCACTAACCCATCCCAGGTGGCCGTCCAGCCTTTATTTGAATACCTCGCGTGTTATGGGTTAACTGCTTCACTGTTTAACACTGGAGAAAATTCCTCCAGATGCTCAACTTGGCTCTTTTTTAATTATAACCTTGTCCTGCCCTTGTTTTCAACAAAGACAAGTTCACCCCTCTTGCACCTGATGACCTTTTTAAAGTCTATAGGTTTCTATGATTTTTTTTTTCATAAGCTAGACAAGATTGCCTAATGGTGGAACTGTTCCTCAGAGGCCAGGCTTTTCAGTCCCCTTAAATATCCCAGCACATTCCTCTGCTAATTCTCAGGATATGAACAACAAAGAAAGGACCGCCTAGCAAGAACCCATCCAGTCCGTGACCAATGATACCGATTGCTTTGCAGTCGGCCCTTTCATGTGGCAAATCTTTCAAATTTATGCTTCACCCTGATGCGGAAGAGTAATGAGTCTTGTAATCAAGTCCAGTATGAAATTGACAGAACATCCAAGGGTGGCTGGAATGTAGAAGTTGGAAGCATATAACTTATGAAACTGAAATGAGGCAAGAGAACATTTTATTTTTTAAGATATAAAAGCTTTAAAAAAGCACATAAAACTAACAAAAATAAGACAGAATAAAAAAACAGAGATAAAGAAGAAAAGACCAAAGTGCAGGAACCCCCACCCCCCCCGAAAGCTTCTGATTTCCCTTGCAGCAAATACAAGCATGGTTAGAAAGCGATCTCTTTCTGTATGATTTCAATAAAAAGGTCACTTTTTTCTATTGTCTTATTTTTTTTTCTAAACCACAAGTCATAAGTGCAAGGGATTTCCAGTCAGCCATAAATATATTGTTTTTTGTCTAATCAAAGAGGCTAAATTTAGCTGTCTCCAGAAGTTCCATCATCTTCACCAGCCGTTCCTCCATTGTGGGGGATATTGAACCTTTCCATTTTTCAGCATAGAATAGTCTCACTGAAACTGTCATGTACAAAAACGAAGTTCCATGACTTCAAAGGAAACCTCTGGATTTAATTGTACTAGAATATTCAACACAATTCTAACATTGCCCCTTAGCTGTCTTTTAGGTAAAAATCCACATTGGTCCTCATGAATAAATTCTGCAAAATTATTCTCACTCTATCAGCTAGGATTGTTGTGAACAACTGTAGTCATTATTCAGTAATGATATTGGTTTGTAATTTCTTCCTAAAGTCAAGCTTCTTTAGGTATTATTGTTATATTAGCCTCTTTCCAGGTCTCTGACATCTTTCCTGTCTGTAAAATAGGATTCATCGTACTTTGTAAAAGTTGTAAAACTTCAAAACTCTTGTAATACAAACTCAGTAGTCCAGTGTTTCTTAATCTCAGCAACTTCAAGATGTGTGGACTTCAGCTCCCAGAATTCCCCAGACAGCCAACGGCAACAACAATCAATTAGATAAATAAATAAGCTTTCTTTCCATTCAGCCACAGAATCATTTATAAAATAGTGAATGGCTTAGCATGGAGTCCCTCTCTGAGTTGAGCGCTCAGTAACGTGGCTGTTATGGTGTCCATGAATTTCCAAGCTGCCTCCAATTGCAGGCCCAAAGGAAGACGATGTCCTCCGATGGCCTAAGTTGTTGTGTATCAAAGAAGGCGGCATAATAGTGAAGTTTGTTTTTGTTGATCTTTGTGGCAATGAAAGTTCCTTCTGTTATTAGGTAGGGTTCTGTTGTGTAGGATTTCCTGACAGTTCGAACAATTCATCAGTGGAACAGCTTGCCTTCAGAAGTTGTGGGTGTTCCATCTCTTGAGGTTTTAAGAAGAGATTGGCCAGCCACTTGTCTGAAACGGTCTAGACCAGAGATGGGGAACTATGGCCCTTTTATGACTTGTGGACTTCAATTCCCAGAATTCCTGAGCCAGAGCCATAGTTTCCCCATCTCTGGTCTAGGCTCTCCTGCTTGAGCAAGGGCTTGGACTGGAAGATCTCCAAGACACTGTTAAGTAATAGAACCATCTCAGGTGTTACCAAACTTCCTGGCTCATTCATTCTTTCTTGCCACATGTCTCGAAGAAGTTGCTACTCCTACTGGGATGCCTTTTGGGGTCTTCCTCCACTGCTCTGGTAACGTTCGGTGCTGAGTCTTCAGAGGTCTCGTTTTGCTGACCTTCACAGAGAGCTTCCTGCTTCCTGCTCTCCAGTGAACATGGGATAAGAAAAGCTAGCATTTCATCCTTTCAGCTTCTCCTCTAATAAGGAGAGAAACTTAAAATTACAAGAGGTGTAATTAGCCCATTCTTCAGGTAAAAACAATGAACATAACATAAACCAGGCACATCTTTACCATATTTGAATAGAGAGTGAGATCAGTTTGTTTCTCCCCTACAAAACTTTCCTCTTCCTCTTTGTTCTCCATAGTTAGCAAGCTCACAACCAACTGTCCTTTTTCTAAAGAGTTCTGGTAAAAAAAAAAAACTTTTTTCAAAGAATGACTTGTTTTAAGTATATAATCTTCATTTAATTCGAAATATGAAATATTTTACTCAACTATTTTATGAATAATGCATCCCTGTCAAATTTTCCCAGGGATTGAGTTTATAATAATAATCTATAAAAATGTGTTAAATTGTTACAATTGTCTTAGCTGCTGTTACTGAAGTATAGAGAGCTGGAGCAGCCATTTTTCTATGCTAAGGGGCTTGATTCATCCTGGCTGGACTCCAAGGGGGCTCAGCTTGTAATTTAGACCCATGTCATTCTTTTGATTCTCTAGAAAGGGTTAAGATCAACCGTCATCAGAAGCTGAGCAGTTTCAGGGAAAAAGTAACTGTCTTTTCTTAATCAGGTTCTTGATGCTACCAAACGGTTAGGATGTGAAGAAATGGGAGGCTATGGACCTCTGAAGGCCCACCCCTTCTTTGATTTCATCACCTGGGAAAATCTGCATCATCAAACACCGCCCAAGCTCACAGCCTACTTGCCTGCCATGTCAGAAGATGATGAGGATTGCTATGGGAACGTAAGTGCCAACCTGAGTGGTGGCAGGAAGGTGAATCAGATTGCAAGAAACATTGATTTCCTCCTTCCCAGAGTGATGTGCTTGGATCAGCTTTGGTGTGTCTACCGCATCTCCACAGCCTTTGTGTTTGCCCTGTAGTCCCCATCCGGGAAGGTGCTCTCTGTGTCTGTTGGAGCATTAACTTTGGTCTGTGTATCCTCCAAGACTGGCCTTGCATTCCTGAAGAGAGTCAGTTGTGGGGATGGAAAAATACATTTTGATTTGGGTATAAAAGAAACCCATCACTTGAACGTTTCTGAGTGGGATTATACTATGGCTGAACTGAATCCTGGAACCTGGTCTGGACCTTGGAGGTGGCCAAATCAGGAGGGGCCAGCACCTTGGTGCCTCTTTCCAGGACTGCTGAATCCTGCCCTGATGATCGGTTCTCTTGGCTTGGGCCATGTGTTTGTGGTGTGGGTTTTTTTTGTTTGTTTCCCTAATGTACAAGTCTGCCCAGGCCTCGCTTCGTTGAGCGACATAGAACGTTACTCCTGCTGTGCATATGCAAGGCTTGTGTTAATGACTGGTTGACTGAAAAGAATGTAAATCCTTCCTTCCCATCAGTTAGAACTGAAGAAGCTTCTCGGAAGAGAAGCAAAATGTCTTCAAGAAAAACCAAGGAAGCCCAGTTGCCCTTAAAAAAAAGGCACCTTTTGGATAAAGGCAGAAAGCCCCGTAATTTTGTCTGTCCCAGCGTCTCTGCATGCCGACCGTGTTTTTAAAGGGCAAAGTGCTGAATAGCTCTTGCTTTTATTTTGTAGTATGACAACCTTCTGAGTCAGTTTGGCTGCATGCAAGTTTCCACTTCAACCTCTTCTCAGTCACTGCCTTCCCCAGAAATGGGTCCCTTGCAGACCTCTGGAAACAACATAGAGCAATACATCCACGACCTGGATAGCAATTCCTTTGAGCTGGACCTGCAGTTCTCTGAAGAGGAGAAAAGGCTGCTGTTGGCCAAGCAGGCTGGTGGGAATCCTTGGTAAGCCTCGGTATCTCTTAGTTGAGTTTTCTATGGAGCTTTTAAAAATTTTAATCTGTGTAATTTTAATATTTTAATATATTTTAATTATTTACCAATTTGTTTTATAACCTGTAAGCCACCCAGAGTCACCTTATAGGAGAGATTATTTTATTAATAAATAAATTACTGTATTTTCCCACAGAACTTCTTAATCTCTTGAACTTAGAGGAGGGTCTTAGAGGAGTAAAGGGGATGGGCTTAAAAATACACAACACAGAATTTAAGATCAAACCAGAGGGAGATGAGAAGATGAATATGACTAACATTAAATGAAGTCATTGTTCACATTGAAGGAAGACGGGCTTGCTTCCATATGGCAACATGGAAAACATTTTCTTGGAATATCTGAAGAATTTTCTCTAGCTGAGAAAACTTAGTTCAGAGGGTTTAGAATATCTGATGCTATTCTTGAAATGCAGAGAGAAGAGAAGACTTCCTTAGGAGTTGTCTAAGAAAAACCACTAAACAACCTTGCATAAAACTCTAGCAAGCAGAAGAAACTTTCTCTAGAAATCAAGGAACTTGTAGCCATCCAGAGGATGACAAGTCGTGGTCTCTTGGCCATGTATAGAGAGCCACAAGTTCCCCATCTGTTCTATAAAGCACTGCAAGCTTTCAGAATGAAGAAGCTGGTGGAAGCATAACAGCAGATTTGAAGCTTCGGTTCTCAGAAGTTATTGTAAAAAACCACCACTTATTCTTGGAGTCATGTACGCCTAGTTGATTATGAGGATGGAGATTCTCAGATTTGTGAAAGATGGATTCAGAACATTTAATCAATTAGAATCCAGTCGATTTCTGACTCAAAATGTTGGATCTTTGTTACTGTTGTTAGGGCTGTTTTTTCTTGGCACATGAAAATCAATCCCAAAGGCTGATGATCCTCTTTTTCTGGTTCTCAGAGGAGTTGTGCGCTCTCATGTTGGAAGTTAAGGTGGCTCAAAGATAGGATGATGGAATAATATGTGATATTTTCTCTTTAGGCACCAGTTTGTAGAAAACAATTTAATACTGAAAATGGGGCCCGTAGACAAGAGGAAGGTAAGTCGCTTGGTCCTGTTGCTTGACATGCCTTCTGGGAACACAGCACAGGAAACCCCAAAAGTTATAAAAGTGGGATCCAGCTACCCCAGAATATTCAGTTCAGGGAGACAGAACATGGGGACACTTTCCAGTTCCTCTGCTGCAAGAATGGATTTGAAAGAAAAAAGCCTTGGGGAGGAACACTAAGCAAGGGTCACCTGGGTGTGGTTTAATTCCTGGAAATGGGAATGCATTGAGTTGTGATGAGCATAGAATAATGGCAGGTAAATTGTTTGCCTGCTTAGAAGATAGTTCTAGAAGTCTTGAAGCAAAATTAGCCATTGTAGCCAACCTTTTTGCACCAGTGATAGGAGGCAGCTCTGGAACATACATGGAACCCCCAGGCCTTTTATGTGGAGCATTCCAGAACAAGATTGGTTGGTCACTTGTTCTGGAAATATTGAAAAGAATGGAACTGTGCTCTGAATGCTCTTGTTGTCACTCCAGGCCCAGGATGCCTTTGCTTTGGCTACTTCTGTAGATGACCAAGTCTTTGAAAAATGCCACTGCTGCAATGTGATTGGGAGGCAAAGAAAACAGTCCCCAGAAAGCTGCATTAGTTGCATATTCAGATTCTTGGGTTGACCTTTTGATATGTAAATTGTTTAGGAACAGGCATTGGTGAATGACTCCAGGTACTGTAAGAAAAGTGGATTACTAGCCACATAAACTATGTTTTGATTGCACTTAATTTCTTGTGTATGTGCAATAATAAATGAACCATAATACATGGCAGTACCAAAATAGAACAGAAAGAACTGGAGAGAAATCACAAGAGCTGCAAATAGAAGAAAAACAGCGGTGGCAAAAGAAAACAAAAGATAGTACCAATAATGATAGGCTCCAAAATAACTGGAGCACCACTTGAACCCCATCAGCATTGACAAAATCCCCATCAGTCAATTGCACAAGGCAGCTTTACTTGGAACAGCTTACATCCCATGGCGATATCTTTTAACACCATCAAACAACAACAATCACCTATCCCAGTTCTTGGGAAGGAGTTGATAGGTGGATAAAAGTGCTTAAACTTCAGCTAAACATCTGACTGACTGTGTGACCATTCATTATCATTATCATAATTAATTGGACATATAGCCTCCGAATCAGAGAATCAAGGAAGCTTACAGTGAGGGAAAAATTATTTGATCCCCTGCTGATTTTGTACATTTGCCCACTGACAAAGAAATGATCAGTCTATAATTTTAATGGTAGGTTTCTTTTAACAGTGAGAGACAGAAAAACAACAACAAAAATCCAGAAAAACGCATTTCAAAAAAGTTACAAATTGATTTGTATTTTAATGAGTGAAATAAGTATGTGACCCCTTCACAAAACATGACTTAGTACTTGGTGGCAAAACCCTTGCTGGCAATCACAGAGGTCAGACGTTTCTTGTAGTTGGCCACCAGGTTTGAACACATCTCAGGAGGGATTTTGTCCCACTCCTCTTTGCAGATCCTCTCCAAGTCATTAAGATTGCGAGGCTGACGCTTGGCAGCTGGAACCTTCAGCTCCCTCCACAGATTTTCTATGGGATTAAGGTCTGGAGACTGGCTGGGCCACTCCAGGACCTTAATGTGCTTCTTCTTGAGCCACTCCTTTGTTACCTTGGCCGTGTATTTTGGGTCATTGCCATGCTGGAATACCCATCCATGACCCATTTTCAATGCCCTGGCTGAGGGAAGGAGGTTCTCGCCCAAGATTTGATGGTACATGGCCCCGTCCATTGTCCCTTTGATGCGGTGAAGTTGTTCTGTCCTTAGCAGAAAAACACCCCCAAAGCATAATGTTTCCACCTCCATGTTTGACGGTGGGGATGGTGTTCTTGGGGTCATAGGCAGAATTCCTCCTCCTCCAAACATGGCGAGTTGAGTTGATGCCAAAGAGATCGATTTTGGTCTCATATGACCACAACATTTTCACTCAGTTGTCTTCTGAATCATTCAGATGTTCACTGGCAAACTTCAGACAGGCCTGTACATGTGCTTTCTTGAGCAGGGGGACCTTGCGGGCACTGCAGGATTTCAGTCCTTCACGGCGTAGTGTGTTACCAATTGTTGTTGCTTTCCATAGCAAAGCACGGCTGGGGCTAAAAAGGCCGCATTCCAGAGGGTAGGAGCAGCAACATAAAAAGCACAGATTGGGGGTCCCAAATAATGGCATTTTAAATGGAAGGGAGCCAGAGCATGGCAGCTACAGATATCCTGGGCTATGGGCTTACAAGGAGAGAGACAGTTAGAGCATCTCTGTTAGGGAACCTGTCCATTGACTGCTAGCCATACTTGGCCAAAATGTTGGTGCTGCGCTAACTTAATGACATAGTAGTAGGACTATCCTAACCCTAACTCTGTAGCCTTCAGAGGTGGGATAAAACAATAAAAACTAGCCCTGGTGACAAACTGTCCCCATTCCTGATTTAGAACATTTTTTTAGGGCTGTGTGCTGCTTTGGATTCAATCTTCATTGGTTCTTATTTTATTTCTTCTCATTTGCCACAGTTTATATGCTGTTCTACTCAAAAAAGGCCCAAAGCAGCTTACAAAGAACGAATGCACTAAAATGAAAACTGACATAAACTGTAACTAAAGCAAACATGCAACAGCCATGGCTTTCCATTCTGAAGCGGGAGGGTTTTCCTTTTCCATCTCCTTTTCTGGAAAAAAGACGGGCTGGTGGCTTCCTGAGATGATTGCTCCCATCAGATCCTTATTAACATCCTGAACTGGGAGTCAGTTGCACCAAGTGCCAGAGCCGTCCCCATCCCCAGTTTCTGCCCAAATTCTTCTAACTGTTGGGAAATTCCTGTGGGTAATTTGTAGTTTGGTTTACATGCAGCACACTCCTAGTCAGTCCCTGTAATTGGATAGGAGCACACCTCTTTCAACATACAGCATGATGATTGTTTATTAAGCATCAGCAAAACTAGGGCCATAGGCAGGAAAAGCAGGGAGAGAGAAAGATGAAAATGAGCAAGGGGGATTAACCACAATGTAGATTACATTGTCTGTCTCAAAAGCAAAGACTTTTCCAGAGTGACTTTCACCCTGTGTGTGCTTAGCACAGATGGTCCCACAGAGAGTGGCCTTTGCTAGTTTCCAGTCTACCCTTTGGTGTCCCTAGTGAACTGCAGGCTGTTAAAAGAAACAGTTGGGTGGATGGGAATGATCTGTCCAGTACTTGCCCTATGGCACATGTTAATCCACCAAATTGCAGATGGGTCTTCTAGGGAACAGGAAATGGTCCTTGGCCCCTTCACGGATAGGTGGGGCGGGGGGAGGAGCTCACTTGATCTAGAGTAGGAGGGCTGTCACCAGGAATTTGGACAAAGCCATCTACCTTTCTCAGGTACTGTAAAACAGTCAAGTTTGCCTTTCAAGCACACGATGATACAGAGGGATACCTTAGCAAACTCCTCCGTCCCTTGTAATATTTCACTTTACCATTGGTGCCATTTTGATAGTTTGACTAGCTCTGAAGTACCTTTCTGGTCACAGAGAGATAGATTCAGCAGTCCCAGGTGATCCAAAGGGTGATCAGGTGATCCAAAGTGAGTGAAAGTGAAATTGTCACGATGTCACTCTGTTTGCTAACTCTTCCCTTTTCCTGGGTGGTTTTGTTGGTGGCCAGGTTTGTTAACAAGTGGAACCTCCTAGGGCAGGGGTAGGGAACCTTGGCTATTTTATGACTTGTGGACTTCAACTCCCAGAATTCCTGAGTCAGCGTGGCTGGCTGAGGAATTCTGGGAGTTGAAGTCGACAAGTCATAAAAGAGACAAGGTTCCCTACCCCTGCCCTAGGGTGAAGTCATTGCCTTGTGCTGAAGGGGACGGGCTCCTTCCTGAGGAAATAAAAAAACTTAAGCTGTACGTTCTAACCAGAGCAGGTGGAATTAACTTTTTCTGATTGGTCCACCTTTTGTTAACCACTTACCGGTAAGTTTGATTTAGACTTCTGTGTCACTGCACATCAGGGAATGTCTACATCTCTCATTCGGAGATGGTTGCATAGTTGCTGCATTTATACTTCTGTGAATGTTAACTTTCTGGATAGGGACGGCTCAAACAACGTGCCCAGCAGGAAGTTAGATCAACAAATCAGCGTGCAGGAGGCACATCACATAACTTGTACCTGTAGTTGAGATTGGGGAGGTGTGTGCATCAGCCCATCTGCAACCATCTGCCATACCAGCCCCTTCGCAATGTAATAGTTGCGGACAAGTCTAAATCAAGCTTTAATGTTTAAGTCTGCTTTTTGGAAAGCATTAAATTGTTTCGCTTTCTGCCTTAAGGAATTGGTTGTAGTAGTTTTGACATAACGGTAGCTTTTTGTGATGCCTTCATTTTCTGGAACTAGAAGGTAAGGTCCCAAACGGTATTCCGTAGAATGGCATGTGCTGATCATGTTTTTAAAGCCTTTAATTGGTTCTGAGTGCCATGTGCTTCTCCACAGGGGCTGTTTGCCCGCCGGCGACAGCTGCTGCTCACGGAAGGGCCACACCTGTATTACGTTGATCCTGTCAACAAAGTCCTGAAAGGGGAGATTCCCTGGTCCCTGGAACTCCGGCCAGAGGCAAAGAACTTCAAGACCTTTTTTGTTCACACGGTAAGTGACCTGCCCAGCTAGTTCAAGTAGAGTTTTCCTTAATAGCACATTCTGTGCTGGGATGTTCATCCAAATGATTTTAAAGGGGGGGGGAGGGAACGGGGGCATTTACCTTATTTTGAGAACAGGAGCTGTGAGAAATCCCTAATTGGGAAACAAAATAGGCTCAAAGGCCAGCAACTCTGAGGTTGGCGTCTGCAACTGTTTCCTCTCACAGGCAGCAAAGGAGAGCAGGGAGCAGCCCTGTAAATTTACCTTAGGACACTGGATGTTATGTAGCAGGGGAAATCCCACTGGGCAGAAGCTTGCACAGAGTTCTTCGTGCCTAAAGCCAAACTTGCTGCTGGCAGTCTATTAACTGGCTACTGAAATGAACGGGTGCTATATCTTGTTTACTTACAGCCTAACAGGACATACTACCTGATGGACCCAAGTGGGAATGCTCATAAGTGGTGCAAAAAGATACAAGAGGTTTGGCGACACAGATATCACCAGAATGCTGCGAAATGAGACTGCTCCTCAGTGCCCATCTCACTCCTTTGCTGCTAGAGTGCCACGTGCCCCCAGACGGAGGACTCTTCCACACCCGGCTCACCTCCAGCTCCAGGGCCGAACTAGTTCTTCTTCTGAGGAGAAGGAGGAGGAGGAGGAGGAGGAGGAGGAGGAAAAGCCCAGCCAGTGGAATTCAGGGTTGCTTTGCTTGCTTTTGTGCTTCTGGTGGAGCTTCTACACACCTACACCCACACCCATGTTCTGCTGATACTGACTACATTGGCTTCTGCTGCAAATGAGTGGAGTTTGCATTGCTGGCTTCGCTGTAGACCAGTTAAGGTAGCTGAGCCCAGATCATGTGGGGCCTGGATTATTACTGTGATCTTCTGATTTATCATGCAACTGTGTTTTGGGGAGCTTGGAAATCTCTCTTCATGAGAAGTTGCCACCCTTGATGCTGCTGCCATCACTTTCCTTTCTAATCGTTGGTTCATTGGTATCCAGCACTTGCCATCACTCTGGGTATAAACCCACAAAATTCTCCAGGTAATGTCCAGTTGATGGATATCCGAGGATGGTACTTCTAATGCCTGCCAGCCTGTCTGCCTTCAAGATGCACTCCGGCACACACGGAAAGCGGGAGGAATGGTGAACATGACGCTTGAAATCCTGGCATTCTCGTATCAGTCATTTTTAAAACATGGAATTTTAATTTGATGCATTTACATGTTTAATTGAGCATAAAAAGTTACCAGCATGCTTTTAACTAATACTAAAGGTGAACTAGTTAGTGCAAAATCGTATTGACATAACAAATAGACTCTTCACTTTTTCAGAAGAGGGAGCAAACTGTTTTCTTTCCAAGGTCTGGCAGGGGCAAAGGGTTGCAGGGCTCAGCTTTTTGTGTGGCAGGAAGGCCAAGCAAAAAAAATGCTGTTGTACGACTGATGACTTGATTTGTTGTCTCTTTGTATAATGAGGTGTACAAATATTCCTGTATTGTTCATTGGCCAAGCATTGTACCTTTTAGCAACTTTGAAAATATTTTACATGATTTAAATATATTTAAGCCCCTCTATTAATTGGACTAATTGTTGTGTTCATGTAAAAATGTTGATACAGAGGAGGGGAAAATGTATGGTACTTGAGTCATATCTATCATATGTTTCATATTGTTCTTTTGTCTTTTTCCAATTAAACTGTCACGCTCAAACATTTCTTGTAATGTAGGCAAGGTGTTGTTTCCTCACCGCAAGAATCCTTGACTCTGCACAGGAGAGGCTCTGGACCGTCTCACCACCTGTTTCTATTCCTGTCTCATTTACATGCTGAGAATAGGGATTTGAGCAAGCGAGTGCAGCTTTGGCTTTTTCTAATCCAACAGATGAAGGGTCTGTAAGATTTTAACGCCATACCTCTTGTGCAGCACAGAAGCCCACCTGGAGGCTTGCCATGGTAAAGTCAGGAGGGGCTGGGGCTGGGGCTGTTCTACCGGAGAAATACTTTGGGCAATGAGAAAACCCTTTTTTTGCTCTCCCTGGTCTTTTTTCTCGGGTCAAGCAGTCAGATACATGTAGCCTGAACAAGAACCTACCAAAACCCTAAACCAGGTAGGGATTTAGGGAGCATAACGTTGAGTTTCCTTTGTGTTATTGTATTGCGTGATGGAATTGTGTGTGTGTGTGTGTGTATTACCGCTCAAACTGGATTTGCACATTACTGATCATTTTCATTTCTTTATTTCAGTCACTGAAGAAACCAGAAACGTCCTGGGGCATTGGACAGGTTTAGGGTAGAATTCAGTTCACTACTATACCACTTCGGAACAAATTTGAAACAAAATGCAGGTGTGGACAGTCTTGTAGATGGTTGAAGGGAAATTATGAAAATTAATGCTGGCTTACTCCAAAAATTATTTAGAAGATGTGATTTGGTCCTCGTGTTAGCACAGCACTTGTCTCCTTTTGATAAAAATACCCCGTTCTCTCCCCCCCCCCCCAATTTTCTGCACAAGTCTGAGGGGCAGAATAGCACAGCTACTTTAAAAGTTGCATGATTTAATATAGGTGGATTCATTTAAAGAAGAGGCATTTGGGCAGGATAGAAGCCAGGAACAAATCCAGGTTATTTTACTGAATAGCACAGAGGTGCTGAGCCGGCATAAGATCCAAGGCAGTTTTGCAACGTGTACACACTAATAGAAGCATTAGCCCTGAAGAGGATGAAGAGAGTAAAGAACAAGAAGGTGGGAGGGTCGGTTACTGCTTGGGAATATGTTCAAAGTGGCTCCTTACCTCCAGAGTCTGCCAGGCTATGGCATCATATTAAAAGGCCTGACCAGTCCTGCAACTGGTCCCTATTAGGCTGTTGGAAGTCCAGAAAAGAATTGAAATTTCCCACTCTCCGGTAATCTCTTCAAAAATCAATAGCAATTTTGTTTCAAAGGAGAAGTAAAAAAGTAAACTATATTTTATTCCAATCATACAAAACATTTACAACTGTACAGTGTTGCTTAAAAGTTTGTAAATTCTTCTGAATTTTCAATGTTTCTGCATAAATACGACCTAAAAAGTGATCTGTTTTCCATATAAGTCCTAAAACTAGTCAAGAACCCAATTAAACAAATTAGTAAAAAGCATTATACTTGTTCATTGATTTATTGAGGAAAATGCACCAAAGCTACATATTTGTTGTGGCAAAGCATGTGAACCTTTGCATTCAGTAACATGTGGGTTCCCTGTAGGCAGTAATAACTGCAACTAAACATTTCCAATATAGTACAGATAGTCCTCAGATTATAATGAGAAGTGGAAATGGAACTCTGTCACTAAGCGTGCGATGTCCCATGACCACGTCCCGTAGCAATGGAATTGCAGCAGTTTTGGTTGCTGTCATTAAACAAAGCCTGCACAGATTGTTTTTTTAATTAAAAAATTTATTAATTTTTATAATTAAACAATAAGTAATATGATGCATTTGTATACACAAACAAAAAAAAAACAATCCAAATCAATACATTGTCAGAGACGCTCGACAGTCCCCGCCTTGCCTCCACCCTCATCCACTTTCCTTTCCTTCCTCCCTCTAACCCACGACCTCTCCTCCTTCCTCCTTCCCACTTCTACATCCCCCCTCTTCCTGACCACCTCCTCGAGTGCAATTTGGGATACCAGCCGAGCATCTCCTCTTATCAATACAGTTATTATTTACCTATAACATGTAAATACATCAACTTTTTATAATACCCCTAATCCCCTTCCCCCCCTTAGCCTCCTGGAACCAAATACAGGATTAAAACACATCCCATTCCATCTCTAAATTACAAGTTAACTAAACAAATATAATACTATCAATATATACCTACTTTAACTCTAATAAGGCAATAAGTAAAAACAATATATCTACTCAAAAACTATGATATTTAATCACTCCATACTTTCTCTAAGCATAATCTATCCACCTTCAACATTTAAACTTTATATAAATTTTTTCTTACATTTTACACTTAAATTTTCCCTTCACTTTCTTCCCTCTAAGTCTATACTTTCAATAAAATCTTAAGTCAATACTTCCTGCTTCACAGCTGGAAAAGTAAAATAAAATCCCAATCTTAAATTTTTTTTACATCTTTCAAAAAAAAACCACAAAAAACTATAAGTTCTTTACAAACATATAATAAACTAATTTCTTCCATTTCCAATAAATTCTCACTTCCAGCGTTTATCCATCCTTTGGCTTATGAAACTTGCTAAGCATTCCCTGCAGGTCTGTCGTTGCAGATCTCTTTGGCCTCACCCCACCCACTGGCTGCAGAGATTGTTGAGCAAGGACCCCATGTGATCGCAACTTCCGACATCCGAAAGCCAGCAGGGAATGTCAGAAATTGCAAAGTGGGACGGTGACCACAGTGATTTAATTGTGAAGCTGGCGCACAGAGAGCGATCTTGTGACCAGGGTGCTGCAATGGTCGGAACTTTGAGAACTTGGAAGTACTCTTGTTCAGCATGGTGCAACTTTGAACAAATGGTCATAACTTGAGGACTACCTGTAACTGCAAATGAGTCCTGCACTTCTGCTCAGAGAAAGTTTAGCCCTTTCCTCCTTTCTGAACAGCTTCACCTCAGGGATGTTGTGAGTTTCCTCACATGAGCTGCCTTCCTTCCCCAACTTCTCTAGAGGATTAAGGTCAGGACTTGGACGTGGCGACTCCAAAGCATTCATTTCCCTCTGCTGTATCCATCCTTTTGTCATAACTTGTGTATTTTGGATCGTGGTCTTGCTGCCTGGCCCACTTTCTCCCGAGCTTCAGTTCACAAGCACACGTCCCGCCACTTTCCTGTAGAATTTGGGGACACGATTCAGGATTCGCAGGTCCATCAGTGGTGGACATCATCCTGGTCCACAGACAGCAACGCAGAACCAAACCGTGATACTGCCACGTTTCACATATGTGACAAGGTTGCTCTGCTGGAACGCAATGTTTTCCTTTCGCCAAACATGACATTTTTACTCAAGCCCAAATGTTCTGCTTTGGTCTCATCCGTCCACAGAATATTCTTCCAGCAGTTTTCTGGCTTAGCCACGTGGACCTTCGCAATCCGTACACAGGCAGCAGTGTTCTTCTTGGGGAGGAGAGGCTTCCACCTTGCAACCCTGCTACGCGCACCATGGTTGTTCAAGGTTCTCCTGATGGTGACCTCACAATACTGACACTTGCCAGTGCAAGAGAAGGCTTTTAGTTCACTAGGCAATATCCTGGGCTTCTTTGAGATCTCTTGAAGAATTACTGTACATGCCTTGCTGTTGGTGTGATCTTGGTCAACCACTTGGTGAGGATAACACCTTTGCACACCCATCTGCCTGATGGTGTATTGGCAGAGTTCAAACTCTGGAAATAGTTTTGTCACCTTTTCCAGCTTGGTGATCATTAACTGTTTTTCAGATATCGTCAAAAATCTTTGTTCAAGCCATGATACGCTCCCACATTCCTGTGTTCCGAAGATCAGACTTTGATAGTGAATACCCAAAATTCTATTCTTCTCAAACTCACGCCTGATTACCATGCCATTGACTGAATTACCTAACTCTAACTTCCCTTCCAATGAATTGATAATCTTAGAGGTTCACATACTTTTATCACGCAG